AATAATGCTGAGACGCAAAGCTGCCTAGAGTCAAAGAGGGCAACACAAAAGGGTTGGAGTATTACCTACAGGAACAAGGGATCCTGCAAGGTAGATCTTCAGGAAGATCCCAGAGGTCGCTTGAGATACTGCAGGGTAAAATGGCAGTGAGGAGCGTAGTACATAAGAAGGAGGATGATATAAAAAAAGAATGGCTGAGCTAAGTCCTTTCCAAGTTTATTCAACAGGGATAGACCAAACCGACACGCCCTGCGCCTGGGAGGGAAAGGTCTCATTTTTGTTTCAGTCATGGCTGTACTCACAGCCCACCAGCTGAAAAAACTGAATGGGAAGGCGGCCTCCCAGCCGCGTAGGAGCCTGTTGGAGAGCGGATACTTCCGGAAAGTCTCTGCGGTGCCTAGTGAAAGGGTAGCCTGCAAAGGGGACAGAGGACGACTTTTTGGGCAAATGGCACTTATGCCCAGAGAACAACGACTGATAGTGCAATGCTGAATCAAGCCTGAAGAGGTAAACCTGCTTTCCCACCCAGCCAACCTCTTTGTTCATGGGACAAGGTGTCTGGGTCTTCTCTAGCACAGCTTTGATGTGCCTTAAACTCAAGCCAAACAAGGGTCTGGACTCCAGCTATCAGTATGAGCTGAGAAGCACTCCCTCTCTGGTCAGCCAGTATTTCTGGTATAAGTTTCCGTGATGTTCAGTACAACGTTCTGAACTGGCAAGAAGAAGGGTTTTTTTCTAGTGAGTTTAATCTCTTAAGCAGCTCGGCAAAGATGGTGGAATTGGGGAGGACTAACAGATGCTGCACAAGCATTACAACCCATCTGGTATAAATGCCATAGGAGGGCGGATGAATAAAGTGTGACTACGGGAGTATTAGGGGTGCCTCTCCATGCTAAAGATAATTCTGATGATTGCAGATTGCAGTGCATCAACCACGTTTTAAGCAAAAATAAGGGAACGGGTAAAGAAGTCTATCTGTCGCTTCCTTTCATATTCATGGAAACACATGCACTCGAGAAACTAAACCAAGACCTATCACGCAATAATAAAGACTGCATTTCTCAGATACCGTTTCATTTATTTTGGAGACAGAGCATTATTCAAGTCTGAAAGAGGACTTGACAAAAGTCTTTTCTGACTCCTCACACCTGAACCTCCAGCTGAGATGACTTGCAGGAGCACTCTGTGGTTCTGGCATGGGGGACAAAAAGTCCTGAGCCAGGTGCTCTTCCAGAGGATGGGTCATTTCAGAGGAGCAGTAACTGTATTTTTTGAGAAATATCTTTTTGAGAAAAAAATCCAGGCCCTGCCCTGGATTTCTGCGTGCTTTCCTGGAAGAACTTGCACAGGCTGATCTCTTCTCGTGGCGTGCCTTTGGCTGACATCTGCAGCAGCAATCCCGGGGGTTGCTGGTAACCAGGGCTACCCCACAACAGCACTGCTGGGAATCAGGAGACACCTACGTTACAAGGGCTGCGAGAGCGCAAATTTAGGAGAAAATGGAAACCTCCCTTTCGGTGTCAGAAATAACAGTTCAAGCTAAGTGCTTCTGCGCCCTGGCTCTGATGCAGAAGAGGGATGAGGGCACGCCTGAAGTGCAGGAGTGCCACCTCACAGCCACGGGCAGTAAAAAGGAGGATCTGGCCCAGCGCTTCCTAATTTTAAGCTTTTATAGAGACACAAGGGCCAGTACCCACCCCAGCCCCTCAGGTAGGAAGTTCTCAGGTTCTGCTATGATCACCATGGATCCTCCCAGGAAGGAGCAGTTGTAGCCAAGCATCCAAACACAACCTATGTTTGTAAGGCTATAACGAGCTCTTGTCAATACGTATTTCCAGTTGGAAATCATCGCCACCCACCCCCCACACTCCAACTAGTGAGAAAAGATGGATGTTTGCAGTTTAGACACTTTGAAATAACGCTTTAAGACGACATTTATTCAAGGCTTAATGCTTCTTGGTTCAGCTTCTGTTACTTTATAAGTTACTCTTTACATTTGGCAGCTTTCAATTTCCGTCTGTCTAATGACATGACTAGTTAATCTGCACTGATAACAGATTGCAGTGAAGGGGTAACTGCCTCTTCCCTTGCAGAGCATACAACATTCCTCCTCGTTTATCTGATGGAAGTCTTCCAATGTGAGGAAATCCTCAGGCACAGGCTGAAGGGTTTAGCCTATGACACGTGCACAAAGATGATGATGCTGTTGCATGCTTCAGAACTGGCTTTCTCTTGGAAACCCTCCTGTGACTGCAAGGTTAGGATGGATCATACAATTACAGCTCTTAAAAACTGTAAGGAAGGAATCTGCATCTCAAAGGCAAGCACGATAAATTGACTGCTGAAATCAAAAGCAGTGATAGTAGACCAGGGGAAGCCAGGGCCACCTAAGTTCAGAGAAGATTCTCTTCCATTTTGTCACTCGCTCCTCTCGAAGCTCTGCTCAGCATTATCCTACAGCCTCTCACTGCAACGTACCATCCACAATTCACACCACCTTAACCAAGAGAAGACTGTGCTTCACACCGCCTCAGAAGGCCTCAGCTTTGCATAAGGCAGCTCCTCGACTACATCAAAGCAAGTCAAGCGGAGCTGGTTTAGTCGTTGGACAATCCCATGTTTTCCTATCAGGTACTGCTGGAACCACAGATAGGAACTGGAGTGCTTCAGGAAGGGGTACTCGTGATTAAAGAACTGAGACTATGGTTGGTGCTGCCCAAATAACATAACAAAAATAATTCCAGTCTCAGAAGGACTTACCACTTTAAAACCTGTTTGTTCACAGCATCATCTACTCTGCACAGCAAAATGCTATTTTAAGCCACGTGATGATTAATCACTCTACATTCATATTTGCATTTAAGTACGGAAAGTTTTAGACTATTTTTAACAAATATATTTGAAGTACAATAGTGTTAATTTGCTACATAATATTTCATCACAAGGATTCAAAATACAGGAATAATTTGGCTAAAACTTGCAAATGAGGTAAGATAAGTAGTCTCTAAGCTCACTCTCTAAGCTTGGTGATCTAGGAGGACAACTGCTGATAACACGCTTTATAAATTGCTACTGCTGAGAGACGGAGGACAGATGGATTCTGAACGTGGCTACCAGCTCAGGTAGACCATACAACATCTAGCAATTACGAAAGGTCACCATATCCAAACCAGGAAACAATACACTTTGATGTTACTGCAGTTTTCAATAGGCTGTTCATAAAAACTTACTCTAGCTTCAAAAATAAAATAAAACTAGCCAAACCCATTGCTACCCTCTTCAAGACCTTCTTCTGGTGTGCCCTAAGGGTCTCTTAGACCTCAATTGCAGAAAAATAATGATAAAACAGTCTTGGCAATTCTACTTCAGTGACAGAATTTTAACTTCCGCTCTGAGACATCAGGATCCCTTTGTCAAACAGAGCAGAAGTAGCTACAAATAATCTACTCATGCTTTCTAAATGCACCAAAATGAAAGAGTCGTCTCCTTCCTATGCTCATGCAACATCACATTCACACTTTTAACATGTTTTCCAGTCATCCCACAGCCCTATATCTCATACTAGCATGGAATAAAGCTATTTCTGCTACAACAGAAAAGTGACATTATTTATGATACATAAAGCGAATAAGCAACCTACCTCTATCTGCTTATCTTTGAAGATGTTGTTGATGCTGTTGTTAAAAGACGCTCCAGAAAACATAGAGGTTATTGGATATGTCAAGTCTAGAATAGTCTTAAACACTGAATTCATAACCTAAAGAGAAGGAAAAAAAGAAGGCATTTCAAAGGTAAATACGTGCAAGAATCCATATTAATGTATGCATTAACATATGCAATTCAAGAGACATCGTATTCCAGATTCTACAGCCAACACATTGGAAGCACTGCTATTATAAGTACAAAAGTTGTCAAGGGGACAGAAATACAACTACAAAAACTACAACCGGTAACTCCTTGTATGGTGCCATACATCTAAAACGGAAAGCAGCACACTCTATGTGCAATAAGGTTATGGAAGAATGTACATTTGCATTGCTTCCCTTCTACCCCTCGATCAAAACATCCCTCTGGAACAGTGTGCACGGGTTTCTGCCTTAACAAAAGCACGTGAAGAGTACACTTTAATTCTTTCTTTCTTTTTTTTTTTTTTTTTTAATAACCAAAGGGTATTATTAGTTATCTCCCTCTTCATCACCCTTTCCACATTGTATGTGCGGTTCACCGGCATGGAAAGGAAATAAAATCTGTAATATAAGAACCCATATTTTTGTAAATCTCTTCTCATTGGTGGATCACATCTAATTTTCATTCCAGTCTTCAATCTTTTATCTGCCCGAGTGTAAGCATTTACAAAAACGTGTCTGTTATTCTCTGGGACTGCAACAAGGTTAAGTCAGTCACATGTTAAAGAGCTTTACACACTTCTCTATGTATCGGTGTCCATTATTTTTCATTCCCAAAGTGAGTTATCATGCTCTTCACCTGCTGCTTGGCAGCCAGTATGTAGATACCGCTACGGGCGCTCTACATGAGCTAGAGAAACCAAATCACATTAGGTTTTCTAAAGCATTATAGATTCCTATTATATTACATAACAGCGGCAGGCACTGTCAAGTGTGTCTCTTCTAAACGCCCATATACTGTAATTAAGCTTTCATGTTTGGTTTTTTTTTTCCCCAGTTCAAGTGTATTACATCTGTGCACTAACCTACATGATAAAATGATGAAAATACATAAACCATACGGCATTATGGCCATGGTATTTGTCCCATAACCATGCTATTGCTCTCAAATCCCAATAAATCCTAACAAAGTTCAATGTCCGATATATTTCATCATACTCAGTTAAAATGCAATAGAACACCAAAAAACCCCGATTAACTCATTTGCAATTAAATAGGATCTCGTTGGATGAGATACTTCTATTAGATGAAATATCTTCTTTGTCTGCATGTTCTCTATAATTTAACAAACAACTTAACGGACAATACGGCATTGTACCCCGGCACAGACCTACCGCACGAAACAGTCTCTAAAACTTCAGTCTATTAAAGGATCTGTGACCAACACCTGGCCTTTGCTTTACTCTAGCAAGGATTTAAAGAAGAGCAGGATTAGCCTACGTGGTCATGTCCGGCTGCTTTTAAATATCTATTAGGTCTCTGCACAGAGAATACATGCCCAAATACAAATGAACCAAACCAAAACAAAACAAAAAGTTAAAAGATCCTAAAACACAGGAAACTTGGGAGAATGTGAAAGCCTTAGCACAAACCCAATTGTGAACCTGTCACCTTCATTCACATCCTCATTTTTGGTTCTGACGGGGTGAGCACAGTGTGCCAACCTCACTATAGACATGCTACCAACAGAGTTAAATGGAATTAGTTTTGTACTTAAAATAGGGATTTGGTCTCTAACGTTACTTAGAATGATTAAGTCAGGGAACGAGGCATTTTCAAGTTGTCCTTTATTTAATACTGAAGAAAAATCTCTTCAACTCAGCACCAAACATCAGGCTATCCTTATTGCAAATGATCTTTGTAATGCTGAGCCTTTACATTTTCCCTGCAATTAATGCTCGCAAGTAATCTTGTACGTAAACAAAATACTTCTAATTAATGGTTATTTCTTAATATTCTCATTTCTCATAACTGGAAGATGCCCTTCTAGCAGATGCTGATGGCCAACAGCCTCCCTCAGCCTTCCAAGAATAGCTGCTACCACCTACCATTCTCAAGATAAATTAAGCTAAAGGTCACCCTTTGGAAAGGCAGCCAGAGCCTTCTGACTTCTCCTCTGCTTCATCCTCCTCTACTAACCAAAGCGCAAGGGCCAGCACCGGTGTCTCCAAGAACGACGCAGCTTCGGTTCCCTACAGCACAGTGATGGGAAGCGCGGCCTCAAGGCATCGCTACCAGTTCTCTTAGGAGAGCGCAGGTGTTTTGCAATTCTTCATTAACTTCTCATGAACTTCCATTTCTACATCTCTGCTGCAAGATGAGATTTCTTATTAAAAAGACCTTAAATCCTAAAATTGTTTTTAAAAGCTACCTTGTGGTATAAGGCAGCTTCAACAAGGAAAGGACAAGATTCTTCTGCTCATGGAGCAGAAGAACAAGAGCAAGCAAGTGATGAAGGACAAAAAGAAACCTGAAATGCAATCTCTGACTATTTGTTCTTTGATGCAGAATTGTTGGTAACTGGTGTCAAAAACCAGGATACCCCAGGATTTTAAAACGTTCTTGAGTTTAAAAAAAAAAAAAGCAAGCAAGGGTATGGGAAAACTTGTTGCAAGAACAAAACTCTAAAATAGCAGAACAGATTAAGTATTTTTAAACTACTAGAGATAGCATCCAGAATTTCCTTTAGTGCCTTTTCAGTGTTGACATATAAAGTTTCAATGAAACAAGCAAAGGAATTAACAAAGAAAAAAAAATGTTAAAGTCAAAAGGAAAACATAACTCAGGCCAACAGTTTCGGATAAACAGCACTACAGGGATATATTTATCCCAAAGACAGGAATTACAGATACTGAAAGTTCAGATTTAAAGGTAAACTATTAAGAAATCTAAGAGTTGAAGACAATTAAAATTAATCCATCTAAGAACCCATAGCCATCTCAGAGTTAGGTGAAGGGGAGAGGCAAGATAAGTAAATAGATGCTTAAAATCAGATTCAGATGTCCTGATCCTGTAACGCATGATCAGTTAATTGACATGGTCACTACAGGGCAGAAATAGGATGGTTTGGTGCCTTAACTGGGCATTTCAGAGCAATAGGCATGTTTGGATTTTGCGTGCAACCTTTCATCTGCATTTCCCAAATTTTAATGCTTGATTTAGGGTTAATTTCAACACCCCAACTAATATGATTGGATGGTGATAGGAACCATCAGGCCTTATCACTACATGAAAATAGATCTTTCCTGTGCCTCTTGATATAACAGACTTGTAAGATTTAACAAAAACACGCCCAGTATTTTTGCCTTCTGTTGTTCATAATCTCAAATACAGAATTCCATCTGAAAGGCAACCGGAGGGAACAGTTCAGCTGGCTTTACAAGGGAAAAGCAATCTGCCCTGTTTTAATTTTTGCAAGCAGAGAAGCCTAGTGAATAAAACCTTCCAAACTGGCTGATAAAGTTTTAAAGATGCAATTAAAAAGCACCAAACCGCAGCAGAGTGCACTTGGCAGGCCAGTGCTGTCCTCGAGCACCAGCAGGCTGGAGGACACCCAAAGCAGGTTCTCTGCTCATCAACCCAATTTAAGGGACAATATGTGCACGTTCGTTACCGCGCAATCTGTAACGAACTTCTTATTTATTTAGGATTCGCCGTGCGCTTGAAAGCTGCTTTAGCTCGGATTACCTTCTGCCGTGCCTGAACCAGCGCTGAGTCCCAGCAACCAAGACTCCCTCCACCTGGGGCACTGGGACCAGTTTATTTTTCTGACCTCCTCTGGGCAGGAGGTATCTTTCCCATAATATCCTGCCTGCTCTTCATGCCCATCTCGTTTGGCAACGTTTGCCTACTCCGCTCAGATTTTGTGTGTGTTTGCAGGGATCTGCCCTTGTAGCCGTTGTTATACAGGAAGATCTGGCATACGAACAAAATGAAACGGCGTAGGACGCAAAGGGATTTACGGAACGCTGCACCTACTCCGGACGCTCTCCCTCCGCCTTCCACAGCGAAAGGCGCGTTTGTGGTCCCCACCGCGTGGGCATCCCCCCTTCCCCGCCAACCCTTCTGCGGAGCCACGCAGCCGGCCGCACGCCGCCGCCGCGCTCCTCCTCCATGCTCCCAAGCCGTCCTTCACCTGCACCAGCTCCAGCACGGGCTACGGGTGCAGGCATCACCCCGCTATGGCGGAGGACAGCTTTCTTCCTCAAAACAACAGATGTAACGGATCAAGAAGAGTATCGGGATCCAGCCGGAGAGCAGCGTGACACGACCCACACTGGGGCTGACGGTTCTGCCCGCGCCCTGCCCCATGCCAGCACGGCTGACTTTGCAGCAGGCAGCTCAAGGAGCTGAGCTGGCCAGAAACTAGCATGACAAGGAAAAAAAAATAAATAAAAAAAAAAAAAACCCAAACCTTAAGTGATGAATTTTTGGCCAGATCAGCTCATTAAACCATCTTTTCTCCCAACGCACAAATACTAGAGCAGCGGTTAGGGAGAGGCAGAACCTCATGACTGAGACCTCCGAAACTCCCCACGTTGATGTTAATTGTCATGCAGTCACAAACAGCAGGACTGCAGCATCCCCCCCAGCAATTCTTAATTCTCATTATGGGAAGCTTTTTAGCTACACATTCCTATAACCATGCTCCCTTCAACAGTACAATATTCCATACTCTGTGAGATATTTCTATTTTGAAATATTAATTCCCCAATTAAAAAAACAAGAAAACACAGCAATCTGCAAGCATGAAAGCTTTTGTTTGTTTTGTTGATTAAACACAGGTACAGAAGACACACAGAGGCAATATACAGCAACTAGCCTGACTGGTAATTCTCATACCCCTCTGTATTTTGACAAAAGAGTAATTTATGTCTTTGCTGCTTCGTTAGGTCCAGAAAACACATTCCATTAAAAAATACCCCTTCTCCCAGTCCCAAGTGTACAACTAGAGATAGGCCAATTTCTAAAAAAAAAAAACCCAAACCAAAACAAAAAGAGAAATAAAATATTTAAAAAAAAAATATATCAGAGTTATCTAATCCATCACAACGAAGATACTTCAAAAACCCACACAGGCTAAAAAAGCCAGGCTGCAAGGCTTTGCACAAAGAGTGCTCAGCAATAACCTTCACCAGCAAAAGCTCACGGGCTTTAGAGGAGCAGGATCAGCAGCTTCTGTAGCAGGGAGAGCTCAAGCCTTTTCGAATAGCGTCGGCTTAACGAAGGACGCTCCCCCGAGCATCCCCCGCTTCCTGCGGAGGTCCTCGCCCGCGGCGATGCCGCTCTGGAGGGCAGCAGGAAGAGTCCTGCAGCTTTTGGACCCTGGGAAGCTGGGGCCTGTCTGCTGGCTTTGTCACCGCGCTCACACTCGGTCCCTTTGGGTGGATCTTCTATGCACCCCAACAAACCTCGCTGCTGTTGCACCCAGAGCTGGCGCTCGGCGAAAGGAGCCGCTCTCCCTGCCCAGACCACCGCTGCTGCTACACAATGCAAGGCAAAACAGCTCAGAATAGCCACCATTAAAAAGATGTACAATCTCTCAAGCTACTTTGTACATTGCTGTGATCTGATCTTGGAGAGAGGGTTTTCATGGCTTTCTTCAATTTACAATGCAGCCACTTTGCTGGACGGTGCTGTTAACAGTGAAAAGGGCTTCAAACAGAGCGGCCTTTTCTTTTTTCATTCTCAAACCCTTGAACAATTCCTGGTTTGGATGTGGACCTGGCAAGCTTGTCAAAACACTCGTGAAAAACCTCAAGAAAATCCATTCTTCATTAATAAGATGAAATGTTTGCTCTAACAGAGGTTATTAACCTCTCCTCCAGCTACTTATTTGCACATTTCAAGGTACCAATACCTGAAACAGCCCGAGGCTGAGCCAAAACCTGCCTTTTCCTTTGTGAAACGTCCTCTGAGCTTTGCAATTTGTGTTCAAAAATTAATCAATAGATTAAATTTCTTCATTTCATCTTTAACCATGCCTGGTAAAAGCGAGCGCAATTCCAGACTACGCTGGCAAGCTCAAGAGCTGCAAGTGGAGCTGGCTTCCATGGGAGCACAGCCCTGAGAACCCCGGAAAGCAGCATTTCCAGCTCTGCGTCACCCCCAGCACAGAAGAGATCGGACAAGGTAACAAACAGGAGGAGATAATCCTCTGGACAAATGCAGGGGGGAAAATTCCATCGCTCCAGCCTAACCAAGAGCAACGGAGAGCGGGCAGCGAGCCACAGGTTACTGGAGGCTGGGAAAACATCGCAGGGAGGTGTCACCACACGCTCGCCCTGCTCTGATGCTGTCCTGTAAGCATTTGGTAGTGACCAATGTGGGAAATAAAAAGTGCAAGGTTAAATGGATGCCTGATACTATTCAATACAGTTGTTTTTATGTCCTTAATCTCAATGTCCACTTTTGCAATTGCAGCGAACTGCTCTGTATCATAAACAGTTTATGCTTTGGGTGCTTCCCAAACCAGCCAGGCACAGGCAGTTCTTAAATAAAAAGCACAAAATCCACATTCTTCTAGCAAACAGTGACAGGAAGGTGAAAGAGTCTCGCGGTCCTCTGCCCACGAGGAGAGCACAAACACGCAAGGGCCTCGCTGTGTATTTTAATGCCCCAGACTATCTAGCTCGCAAGGTAAGTGGCATCTTGCCAAGATACAGTAGATTTCGTCTCAAAGCCATGGCCCATTAGATGACATTTGGGAAAAGTAAGCAGTGTGCCAACTACAGACTCCTATTTCCCCCTAAAACTCTAGATCTAAGCAGACCCAGGACTTAATCCAATTTAGAAAACTCCCCATGGTGCTTCCCTTTCAGTTAGAAAAGCAATGTGAAAACGTGGTTTTCGTATAACCAATACAAAGTTGGAATCACACCGTAACTAGTAAACTTCAGAAATAATGCTAATCTTCACCGTCAGTCAGTTTGAAGCAGGTGTAACCTGGTGTTCCTACAATGTTCCCAACATCCTATCAATAAATTCACCCACAGAAGTCACTACTTAAAACAACCTTCTCGAACCTTGGTTTAACTATGAAAACATGGTTTTACTTGTGTTAAATATTTAAAGTTAAATTTTTCTCTTGACACAGAGTACCACCACTCTGGAATGCTCAGGCTACACCATGAATGACACATTTTGTATTTAGTTTAGAGAAGGATTACCTCTGTCAATCAGTTCCACTGAAAAATGACAGCATGTGAGAACGAAAGAGAGAAAATTATACAAAAGAGAAACACATTTGTTGAGAATTGGAAAGGAAAGAGATTCCAGCACATAAAAGGAGAAGATAAACCAAAGATAAACACAGGCTAACACACTTAACTAACATCACTCTACGTTTACACTGCGACTGGAGTTTGTGCAGAGCAAAGCCAAGCATTTGACTCCTGCCTGCTCGGGCGCTCGCATCGCCTGCCGGCGTGACAGTGAGCAGCTTTCCCAATTCACTCCCTCGCTGCCGGGCAGGGGCCCTTTCCGTCGTGCAGACACCGAAGTGCAGATGGTGGCACTTTCCTTGGGTGCCTGCTTGGGCATTGCTGCCTGCTAAGGCTTGCGGTGAAGCTCTTGCACTCCATCTGAAGGGAGGAGTGCAACGTTCCCCATGCTTACCATGGCCCACTGTCTAGCTTTGATCCTCATCTGATTGTAGCTGCGTTCCTCGGCATACAGGGCACTCATAAAAGCACCAATAGACGTTCCTCCGATCATATCTACGGGGATGCCAGCTTCGATCAGCGCTCTGATAACTCCCACTTGGGAGCATCCTCTGTGTCAAGAAAAGAAAGAAGACATTATCAGACAAACAGACATTGAAAGAGCATAAAAACATGAATGCCACCTTCTAAAGGAAATTGAGTTTGCACTAACTGAACTGCCAATCTCTTGCTAAACAAGCCTCAATGCCAGAAAAAGATGTCATGAATACAGAAATCTTCAGATATGCTCCCTGAGGATCCTAGGAAGTATACGGATCACCCAGCTGGACTCCACTACAAAAGACAGCAATACAAAAACAACAGCCAAGAATCAAGCCAGCGGACATGCGATGGAAAAGTCAACATGGCTTTATGGGAGCAATGCATCAAAAATCTGCTAGAGTTCTTCCAAAGCAGTCAAGAACAACTGATTTCAGAGACCTTTCCACAAGAGTCTCTTCCAGCAATTCTTCAAAAAACTCAGCCAGCCTGGGATCCCAAGATGGGTCACTGCATGGATTAATAATGAATTTGAAGATGGAAAACAGAGAGCAAGAAGAGACAGACACTGACGAGAAGGCAGGGGTTTCATTCAACACACAGACCCAGGGAAGGGGCAGATGAGGAGGCAGCGTTTGAGGATGACACAAATTCCATCAGGATGATAGTAAATGTATTCCTTAATTTCACAAGTGCAGAAGGAACTCAAGAGCAATGATGGCGTCAACTTATAAACAACAGATGAACCTCAGCACTGATGGGACAAGCAAGAGGCAGAAGTCACAATGCCCCTACAGCAACGAGCTCTTAACCAGCTCTGCTCACACAGAGATTTTTTGGAACCTCTGTGGATATTCTCTGAAAAATACTAACCTTGTGTTCAGTGGAAATTCAAAAGGCAAATGAAAGAAACCAGAATAAAACAAAAACCATAAGAACGTACATCCAGAATGGACCAGCATTTTCAAAACTGCAAGCAAGCTCAAGCTTCTCACTAAAATAAAAATAAAACAGCAGAACTAGAAAATGACAGAGAAGCAAAAGACACAACCAGAATATGGAAAGGACTTCATGTGAGAAGAAACAAGACTCGAATCTCCGACCGGGGAAGATCATGACGGACGGGTGACACGCAGGGCCAGCCAATGACATCACCATGCAGAAAGTTTAATGTCAAGGAAAGAATTTACACACCGACATGTGTATGCAAAGCACAAATTGGGCAAACCACTGTTACCACATGCTGAAGAGGTCAAATCACAGATGGATTTAAACATGGACTGGATGAATCACAGGTACCAGCCTACTAAACACGAAAAATCGAAGGGGCAACCTTGCGTTCAGGAAGCTCAGAAGCCGCCAGCTGTTGCGGCGGCTGTCGTTGATTCTGACGCAGTCACTACTACCTACCATCAGAAAAGAGAGCATAGGTGGAACGTTTGATCTGATCTTCTAAACAGCGATCCCCTAAATGGGAGAGGGATCCCCGTCCATTCTACAGAACCATTAGAGAAGCAAAGAAATTAGCAGTGGAGGCTGACTGCCTTCTTATCAGTACAAGATTATGGCCTCTGGTTTCAAATGCTTTGTCCAACTAATATCAAGTCAATTAGTTCATTCCACCTGGATGGGTGCTTTGCAGTCTAACCCATACAGCTGTAAAATCCTCCTTTTCCCATTTTCATCCCATTTTTCTGTTCCCCCATTGTTTGCTCTATTTCCATCCTCTTTCCCCTTGCTGTTTACTTCCTATAAATACTTGCTAACAGCTGCCAAGTCCACCGTAGGTGTCATTTGGCCAAGCTATGCCGAACACATTCTTTCCATCTAAATAAATCCCCTCCAGCTGCTGAAATGCTTTGAGACAGGTTCTCAGTTATGCTGGTGTAAATGACTTCAATGACAGATCTGCGCTGGTGTAGTCCAAGAGCAGAAAATGGCTCATTTAGCTTTCCTCTCCAAATTCTCCTTCCCCTGCTTTACTATTGCTTCTTCTCATAAGATGCCCTAAGTTAAAGTAATTATGTTTTTATCCCTGCCAGGGGAGACCATTGTTTTTAGCCTTTTGGATCCCAACTATTTTTGCAATCTGCTTCTTGTGCCTGGCACTTACTGCTGCCTTATCCCCGCCTGTAAGTCGCGAGCTGACATTGATGTTTCACTGAGGAACAGACCTTACACTATCCAGCCTGCTTTCTGGAGAAAACTTACATCATGTGGATTTGTTAAGACACGTTAAGTACTGTAAAGCATTTCCTGCTTGCAGGGCAATTTTAAACTGGCCAGGACTAGTTCCAGACTGGATTGTCTCCCTTTAACCTCTTCAAAAACTGGATCTCCTCAATCATGCGTTTGTGTGCCCATAAAATACGAAGGATTTGATGTGATCGCTCTGGATTTGTTGTTACTTTGCTGTATGATGCCCTTGAATAAATAACGAAAGATTATTATTACTTCTATTGGCAAGCCATCACCTCTGCGTCTTGCATCGGCAGAGTCCCTGGCAGTAATACAATCTTCCAGCTAAATGTGTAACAGCCACATATCTCCAACAGACACATCGATTTCAAAGCACTGACCTGCAAGATGGGAACAAAAGTACTTTTCTTGCTCAGAAAGGGACCTCCTATTGACTGCCAGACTAACTTACGTTTCATTTATACACAACCACAAAGCCGATTCTTCCAGTTCCAGCATCCTGAACAGCTTCGTGGTTGAATCCATTTGTGCAAACTAAAATCCCAAGGAGAGGCAAATGTGAACCCACCTAATTTCTCCATGCAGCACCCGGAGTCCTAAAGACATTACTTCTTCCTAAATGTTTTCCCCCTTCCCTACAGCTTTAGGCCATCATTACCCCGGCAATGCTACTCCATGAAACTTTTCAACAACTCCTTGCTGTTGGTTCTCTCTTGGCCGCTTCTTCGCAGCTCATGGTGTACGTGAACGTGAACGTGGGCAGGCTGCCAAGGGAAGCTGAGGGCCGGAGCTAGCGCTTTGCCAGGCAGCACGCATCCCGCTCACCGACGACTTGCCGGTGCACCACGGACAGCCGGTGTGCGCAGCTCTCGTACTTCGACTAAAGAGGAAAAGAAATTGAAACAGGGATCTAGCTCCTGGCTAACAGTCAGAGTACTAGCAGAGAAAAAAACCCCAGGGATTCTGTGTTTCTTGTACTACCAGGCAGTTTCACAGGGGTTTTAGGGCAACGAGTGAAAACACAAGTTTTTCACCCCAGCAAGCGGAGTATAAAGGACATTGCTTGTGGCAACGCTGTACGTACAGACCAGTGCCAGAGCACTCGCGTGGAGCGGAGAAGGGATGGGGAAAATCTCCGGTTACCTGGCTGACACAGAGCTGAATGTCCAGAGGAAAGGAGGAACAGGGGAGTCCGTCTAGACACAAGGAAGGAGCGTCTCGCACAGGGGATGCGGTGTGCGGCCGGAGCTGCGCACGCAGCTGTCCTTTGCCTTAAAGCCGCCTGACGGTGCAGCTGGATGGAGCATCTCCCCTGCCAGGATTAACGCCCGTCCCCAGGACAGTGACAAGGACTCCTGGCACCAAGGACAAATGACTTAGAAGATTATTTTCAAATAACTTGCACCAGAACCTAAAGATTTACTCAGGAAGTGCAGAGTCTATATATTAACAAAAACTCTTTTCCATCATATATCACTCCTAGGACAGGCCTGATTACTTAGTGCCCTTCGCAGCGAGAGCAGAAACAGCACCGACCGGCTCGAGGAGGAACTGGAAATAAAGGGCCACGCTCCGGGGTTTCACCCTGCCATTGCCTCACAGCCTGATCCGAGCCAGGCAACCACGGGCCGCTCGCTGCATCGGCTGCCCCGCGGTGCCGCTTACCGCGCTGCTTACCAAGCTCATGCTTGCAACAGGCTTTAAAAGCCTCCCAAAGCGGTGCAGTACTTCCTAAATTCCGAGCACCATTTCTTCTTTACTACTAATGGTCACAAATAAATGACCACGAAGCAGGGAGAGTATTTTTGGGGTTGAAGACGTGCTTCCTTGAAATAACATGGCACAGCAAGCAAAGCACTTCTGGCAGAAGGTCTTGCAGGAAAATTCCTGCTCCTGAAAAAAGCCCTTGCTTTCATCCCCTGGGAAATGCCGCTGGCACGTGACTGTAATGCACGAAGGCCAGATAAAAGAAAAATTCTCTTGTAAGACGTGCATGTGTCTGCTCCACACGTGCCTGCCAGAGCTCAGATTAGATACGACTCTCAGGAAGATGCAAGCAAATGCAGCAGGACAGTTCAGATTAAAGTGTCAGCAGGAGTACAGGCTGTCCTCTGTGCTCAGCTCGGGGGGGGGCTGAAGAAAATACAATTAATAAAAAAACAGAGACAATATTTTCTCCACAAGCCACATTTAACAGATCAATAAGATGTTGCTTGTCAGAGTTAGGAAGAACAAACGCGATACCGTGAGCATGCAGAGAGGGGACACCCGTTTTTCAGACCGGGACTAATGGAGCAGCAAGGCAAGGCTGCAGCGTGATCATGCTGCACACCTCCAAGGTCCACTTCAGTTTCAGAACAGAAGAGGACATACAGCTCAGGTATTCAGCCTCCCCAGCACACACCTCTTCTCCTAATTCACTGATCAGGATGAAGGAGATCTCTCTGAATGCACTGAAGAGATGCTATTTCCTTTGGTTAAAAACAGGATTAAGGTCATGGCTGCTGCAGAGCTCTACCACATCTCTAACCAAAGCCTCCCCGGGGCAGGACACGTGGCTTGTCGCACCACCTTCCTGATGTAGCTAAGTAGCAAAGCAGGTAGAAAATTGCCCAGGGGACTTTACTAAGCTGCACTAGAGCCTAACAAAACTGAATTAAGGCTCCCTCATAACCTTAAAACTGCTGATGAAGCAAAGCTATACAAATAAAAACAACTTTTCCTTCATATGACAGCTTTGATTGAAAGCACGTTACGAGCAGTCGTTAGATCACCCAGCTTACGGGGCAAGCGCAGATGAGTACGTATTTACTATATCCATTTTAAAGATGTGCAAGAGTGGTGAGTTGGGCAACCATTCCCCCAACGCTGC